AATTATGAGGATATATCTTTGACAAAAAACCACATAGGAAGAAAAGATACAAGAAAGTAGTGTATCCTATATATATTGCACATAATTGATACTTATTGTCGAACTTTTTCTTTCTTTTTTCTTTTTTAAGATTTTATAAAAGAGTATTTACTTGGTAGAAATTCGACATTTTTAATTTTATTTTTGACAATATATAACACATTGTTTGCATAATCAGGACCAGGTCAACTGTCCATTTTATCTTAAAACAGGGGCATGTCGATTTGGTGATTCATGTGGACGGAATCATCCATATCCCGAGAAAAGTGTTACCATTTTAATTAAGAATATGTACGAGGGTATGCCGGTTCAATTGGCGGACGAAGATAATGACGATAATTTGGAGGTATGTCTCCTTGTTAATATTCTCAAAAGAAGGAAGCGATTGTCTTTTGTGTATCGAAATGATAGGGAATTTCATATTAAGAATGATATATCTACAGTCGTTTAACGGTCGATAACAACAATACCTACTTTCTTGTATCTTTTCTTCCTATGTGGTTTTTTGTCAAAGATATATCCTCATAATTTGAGATCTAAATTTATATGCATTACATTTCATATAAAATCCTTGACGATTATCTATGGAAAAAAAATTCATTGTTCTTTTTGGGATGAATTTCTTTTTTATTTTGTTTTATGATATTTTAGTTTGATGAAGTAGAGGCCGAGCGTCATTATAATGAATTCTTTGAGGATGTGCATTCTGAATATCGGCAATGCGGAACCATTGTACAATTTAAGGTAATTAAATCTCGTAATATTTTATTTATTTTTAGACCTATTTTAATCATGGGTTATGTGCATTCACTCATACATCTACCACTTAATAGGTTTGTAATAATTTCCAAATACATCTACGCGGTAACGTTTATGTGCAATACTCTAAGATTGAAGAAGCCGAGAAAGCTATAAACGCGACCAGAGGGCGATGGTATGCAGGAAAACAACTGATTTGCGAATACTGTCCAGTCACGAAATGGAAGTCAGCTATATGTGGTAAGTTCGAAGATTTTAAAATATTTCGTAAAACTGGAATTAGCGTATCCTAAAAATTTATCGAGTTTACATTTTTTTTTTTTCCAAGGATATTATGAAAGAAACAAGTGTCCAAAAGGAATTCAATGCAACTTTTTACATGTTTATAAAAACCCGGGAAATTTATATGCTGAAGCAGACAAAGATTATGAATATCTTTCAAGGAAATCATCAGGTTTGCAAATTAGGAATATTTCATTTGATCGCTTGCCCAACCTTTTTTGCTGACATTGCATCACTATTGTAGTGGATATTGCCGAATCAACAACACATCCGACTGTTACACCGGTGGACGAAAAATCACAAAGTCTAATCTTATCAGAATCTTCCAATGTCACGAAACACGCTCGGTCGCCTAGTCGTGATGAGAGTCAACCTAACCATCCATCTAGTCACGATAGAAGTCGAACGCGCAGCCAGCATAAGGGACGTTCGCCAAGATCTACATTCAAACTTAATAGCGAAAAATCTCGGCATCGTAGTCGATCAAGGTTACGGTCAAAATCTCGTTCTCGATCTCCCAAGAGAATATCGCGTGAAAGAAATCGTCACGGAAAAGGTCGTAATCACAAATGTTCGAGTAAGGATTACAATCACGGACAGCAAGATGTAAAAATCTAAATTATTAAGAAATGAGTGTTATAATGTAGTTGCCAAAATTTATGTTAAATAAAAATAATAGAAATAAGAGTTTATCCATGCAAATCATAAAAAAAAAAGATATTGGTAAAAAAAAATCCCAAATATTCATTACATTAAATTAGATTAACCTACTTACAGTAATCTTATAAAATATTATAAAGAATATTCATTTGTTTTAATATTTTCATAAAGGATTGAATTATTTCATGTTTAGATTTACTGTATTTCTTATGTAAATCTCAAATATTATTATTTCCAAAATTTTTTATTTAATAATTCCAATATTATCAGATGTACAGTACATTATCGTAACATTCTAGTTTATTCTATTTTCTTCGGACAAGCAGATGAGATTTCAGATAACCAGCCGTTTTATCAGATATTACGTACGGATAAATAGGTGAAAATTTTAACGATATAAATGATTTCTATTCATATTTACACAAAATTTGGATGCCATATATGCAATTTGTGAATTTTATGCGATTAAACTAGCTTGATGTCAACGAACGAAAATATATGAATCATCGCACGTGAAAATAATCATCAACCCCACTGATAGATACTGCCAGAAGATGTCTTCCTCGTCACACATCGAAAATTCGGAGTCGATGAAAGTATCGATGGATAGGGTGTATTCAGCAATGAAGCTGAATTTGACAGCGATAAATCTTTGTATAATGAGGCGACCTTTGACTTTAATGCTAACGGCGGAGGTTGGAATTGTTGATCATCGTCGTCAACCGGGTGTGGAGCCTCTGATGGATCTCTGATAGATTTGTGCAACGTTAAAAGTTCATTATTGTAAGAGGATTCCGGTGGTAAATTTAGTTGTCGCTCTTTATGTTTCTCCAGGATATGAGTCACCCTAACGTATTCTTCTATGAAGAAATTTGCGCTCGATTCCCACAGACAAAACTTTATGCTTAATTTATGCGAGATATTAATAAATCTTCCTTGATAAGTTGGTTGCACAATATGTGGAATAAATATATCTATGATGTGAGTGTACTCTTCCCAGTAATTGGACTGTGTATATTGGAATTCCGTGCATGGAATCGTAATGTTGGTCAGTTTTTTTTCCACACGTGTTATTTCATTTTGTGTTGAACACGAAAATTCCATCAGCGTATCTATCATCACTTCCAATCTTTCGACCTGGACTCCAGGGCGCGACGATCGCAATTTCATCGGAATTGAGGTGTAATCACCAAGATTAAAAATCTTGTTGGGCGGCAACATGAAGATGTACTCGATCCCGGTCGGAGACTTCCCATGTATCTTGTATGGTAATAGCAGTGAGTGATCCAGGGTCAAGATGCGTTTCAGAGGGCAATGTAATTTTGCGAAATGTGAACTTGTTCCCCATAACCCTTTTATGTTGACGGTGACCCGAAGTGTATATTGGACAGCCCCTACTTCGGTGATTATTGTCTCTTGGAGGTTATAAGGAATATGTATTTTGAAAGGTATGTCTAATGTAGTGATCTCTTCGGTGGCATCAGAAGCCTCCCATACTTTATTTAATTGGTCGACCAAGATATGTTCGCCTGTGTAGAGAATCCTCAATCTTGCTTGAGTTTTGTGCCAGGAAGTTTTTTCGATTCCTTTGAGGTGAAGGTAAACGCTTTTCACCGCACATGCTCTCGGATAGTTTAGATGAACTACGCCTACGAGGAATGTGTCCGATTTACCAAGACCTCCTCGTTGAAAAGTGGATGTGTTGTCTGTGAATGAAAAAGTTATGCTCTTATGAGTTTTTATGTAATCGTCTAGTTGCGGTTTATTTCGGAAGGAGCCAATTGGGATGACTGCGTTACTGTCGCTATGAATAAGACTCGTGGATGAATGATACATTGCATCGATTTACGTTTGTGTTCTTGTCCAAGCCAGCGGACGGGATTTGACGGAATTTCAGGAGACAGAAAATTTAAGAGTCGAACGATTCTGACAGGTCCGTTTTTATAGACAAAAATAATATGAAGTGTATTAACTTTCGGAAAAGGATACGTTCTATAGTAAGGATTTACATGATTGTTTGTTTACGATTTGTAAAACGTGAGAAGGAAATTTCTACACATGCATGAGTTTATAAGAGTGGCATGTTTCTGACGAGTTCATACATACAACCATGCGAGTCCAGATATCAACCAATTAACCAGCATCGTTGGTTTTTAATTGATGTTTTTGTGATTCCATGGTTTCTCTTGGCGGAATGAATCGATTAACGATTGGGTCGGTACACCAATTCGTAGATCGAAATTTTTTTATAAAGAAACTCTTTCCGTGTCAAATCGATACTTCAAATAGCAAAGGGATTTGTCATGATTTATGAGACGAGTCTTCTTTGAATTGATTCTTGACTTAAATAAGTTGGTTCTTCTAGAGTTGAAACTTGACTTCAATGAGTTGTTGATTCCTCTTGAATTGGAACTTGACTTAAATGAGTTGACCTTCTAACCAGGTTCAAAAAATTCAATTTCTCAATTCGAAATGGGTTTAACTTGATTCAATTAATTACTTGTTAAAAACCATTTTCTTTGGCCGTTACTTATGCGTTGCACCTCAAATTAACATTTGAAGATCAAGTATTATTATTTATTGTATTGACGATTTTGAACAATGAATCTTCCGCGAAATCTGTCGATTCGCATTGAAAAAAGTTTTTTTTTACTGTACAGTACATATACTGTATATATTGATCCGAAATAGAACATTCTGACGATTAGACTTAGATTAGAGATAAGGAATACATACCAATGTTGGGTTGGTGCAGACCAAAAAAAAAAAAGACCATTGTTTTAATAGTATCCTTAAAATTGAATTTTCTTTTGACCGTCGTGCACAATATGCTGTATTTGTGATTGCTATTCTGATACCTGCAAAATAGGGACTCTTTTCGGTGCTAAGGTGAACCCACCAGATTTTCCTTTCCGATATTGATTGTCATCTGATTCCTCGCTACACCAACGAATGGATTGTAACCCATCGATTTTGGACATCACCACGGAAGATCTTTGTTTTCCTACCTCCGATCTTCCGATTTTTAAACATTGTTTTACCCGATTACAATTCTCGAAGTGTTGGGTTCCTTTTCAGGTGATAATATGAACTTCCAATTAGGCTACTTTTGATAATTGAATATTGAGGAAAATAAAGCACCTAATAAAACATTGATTTGTCGAATTAACTATCTGACCAAAAATTTGGGATAGGTAAGAATCCAATGGCGAAGCAGTTAATTATCAAACTCACGAATTTCATAGTAAATAAATTTTCTTTCTTCACTTGGAACGAAGATTTCGATATTCGATTAATTAATTATTATCTATCTATTTTATTTATTTATTATTTATTAGTTCTTGTGCAAAAATCGGGTTTGGATCGATCTACAGCAATGGATCTGGATTTTTTGAAATAACAGTGGAAACAAACTTTGCACAAGGGGGTTGATCGTCAAACACAACTTTCGTTTACTTTCGCTAGAAATTTTGAAATGATCATTAATCGTACTGAGATAGAGAAAACCAATCGTAAAAAAATCATCACACCCCAGACCAAAAAATGAATTGAATTGAAAGAAGAAAAAGGAAGAAAGATATGATACACGAGTGATATTGTAGTTTGAATAGAAAGATAAAAAAAAAGATCATATTTTACAATTTTTGAATTCTATTTTACATTGCTCGAATTTGAAGGCTGTCTATCTTACACTACAAAAATTCTGTACTATGCAATTCTATAATGATATATCTATTGATAAAGGAAATCAAACCAACGTTTCGTGAAATGCAGAGATTCGAAATGTACGAAGGTTGAAAGAGTCGAGTAGCATTTTTTTTTTTTTTTTTTTTTAAAAGTTCTCATCTATTAAAACTTCCATTTCTAAGTATTTGGTGTTGAAAAAAAAATTAACCCAACAATCCACAGAATCCATCATTTGATTAATGAATGTGAAAATACCTACCATAGAATCTATGACTCAATGGTTTCGCCTCGCCGACATTATAATTATAAACCGGAAATCTTTGCACATCCTGCGGTGGTAACGATTGGTAGTATTTAAAAAGTTTCCTGTCGAATCTGATTTCTCTCAAACTCCGAAGATACTTTGAATATTTGAATATATATTCCAGTGTATCCGCATCCATCTTTGGTATGTAATACAAAGCCAGCACGTTTAACGAGGCACCGCACTCCTTGAAGAAGACCTGTAGGTCACGTATGGATGCAGAAAATTTGATTCCAAAGTAACGTAGCGAGAGAGGGATAGTTTGAGCCAACAGTTTGATCTTCTCGGTCGTGTATTTGGGCTCTTCGGAATTCTCAATCGTCAAATGTTCAAGTGCCAACCCCGACAACAACGTTATGAATCTTGGGAGTTGCGTCGCCGTTATTTTCAGACAGAGGTGGGTGATCTTTGGACAGTATTGTTCTATCGCATCTAGAATTTCCGGTGTGACGTTTCTTAGCGAAAGCGTTTTTAAATTTTGATTCGACATCTTGAGGATCATCGAGATGATTTGCGACGAGGGATCCCCGTCACCGCAGTAAAGGTTTTTAAGAGGAAGTTGGGTGGTGAGCGTTGAATCGATGACTTCATCCGTGAAACTCGTAGATTGCGAGAATTCCAGTGTCTCCAGATTCGGACAATTCAGCAAAAGGTGATGTAAAAGGCGAAACTTTTTTAACCACGTGACTCTTAGGAAAGTCAGGCATTTTGCTTTGACCGTGAGGGCGTCGTATACAAACTGAGCGGTTAGCTCGTCGATCACCAGACTCGATAAATTGGGCTGCGATAGAATTAATTGCGACAAAGCTTGACAAAGCTGTTGGTTATGGTGTGCTTTGGCTGGGATGAAGAGTGACAAGTGTTTTATGTTCCTGGTGGAATTCGCGATGCTGGTGAATAAGTTGGACCAGGCGGCAAAGGATTCATTGTCACGGTAGCTGAATGCTTGAAATTCGAATGTTCGGAGGTTTGACAGAGAGTGTGAGAACGATGTGTACAACTTTATGTCGGTAAAGTATTGATAATTAATTATATTTCCGAATCCCCGGTAATATTTGAATATGCGAAGACCGTTCGACCGACTGAAGAGCATGTTACCGATAATTTGTTCAATCAACTCCATGTTATTTATTAGATAGGGAGGCATGGAGCAATAATTTCCCTCCACCCATTTCTCAATGGCCTCGGTGAAGTGAAAGAAATCAAATCCTTGCATGTACTTTGGGTAATCAAAGAACGGTTTCGGCAAATCGGGCACTTTTAGCCCGTTGTCAAGTAAAATCTTCTTTTGATCATCGTCCAAACAAGAGATGTAGGTACGTATAAGCCGAAATCGATATTTGTTTGGATATTCGAAAGGCCTGCGCCATAATAATGGAATGGCGAGTCGACAGAAGAGTCGGTTCACAAAGATGCACGAGTAGAGGGTCGATCTATCATTTTTTAAGTGTTCTAAGATTTCTTCGAGGCATTCGACCAATAATATCGGGGGCACATGAGGTTTGCTTTTGGTAAAGGAGAATCTCCGAAAGAGCTGCAGTACGCTTTTGACTTCTATTTTTTTTTTCAGGTGAAAAACAAGAGGCATATCTGTCATTGGGTGAGCTAGAGATGTTCGTTTATAAAAATGGTTTCAGATAATCGATGCAACTTGATCAGCAACTTACCAAAACCCATGGTTCAAAAAAAAAAAAAAATGTTATTATTATTAATCGGGAATAATTTTTAAGGTTGGGAAAAACGAGTAATTTCTTTATTGTGCGTGCTCTATTTATCGATTTCGTTTTGGAAAAAAAGGGTCCAAACTCGCCACACGCACACTGATAATATCACTAAATATGGCCTACTCACCTGCCTTCATCTGTTACGACATTGTTCTGCAGAACAAGGAATGCATCTTCTACGTGACACACATTGTGTGGCGCCATTTAAATATCAGTGATTATTTTTCTTTTTTTTCCAAGAGACGGCGGGTGAATGAAATGTTTGAAGGCGGAAGATGATGGAATTTTACAAGTGGAACAATAATATGATTATTTCGATCCCTGAGCGAGACGGTTTGGCGAAATCTGACATCAAAGATTCTCGCATCATGGAGAAAAGGAAACCATTGTTCGCAATAATGGATTGTTAATAATTAATGGGGGCTTTGTGCATTTGTTTGATCACGTGGCGTAAACAGAGTGTCTAATTTAGAAGTTTGAACGTGCGTGTGGGGAAACGTGAGTTATTATTATTTGGTAATTAAAAAGAAGCCATCATCTATTGTTTGATGATGGCATCCCGGTTATGAAGTGTAAAGAATTTTTTTTTTTTTTTTTAAAGAGGCTGAGGTTTTCTCGCGATGGCACCTTAGGTACACAATCACCTTTCAATTCCATTATTTGGTTGAGAATAAACAAAGTTTTTCGTTTATTATCATTACAAACAATAAACAAGAAGATGCCATCATTATTTGTTAACCTAACTTAGGCGATTGTTTGTTTGCCACATTCCATGTACGTTTATCCCACTTTGTTTGCACATCAAATTGTTTGAACCGTGAAAAACGGCGAAAGAGTGGATTCTTGCGAATAGTTGAGATGTGAAAGATTCATGGTGAACATCGGCTTTTTGTACAACATCTGATCTGTCACTGCAACCAATGGATGGTCGAATCTACACACCTCGCAGATATAATGAGTGCACAATGATAGATTGTCCGAGAAGTCAAACTAAGATCGAACAAAGATGATACCGGGCCAAATCAATGCATCATTAGAGGGTCTTCGCATTATTGAGGATTTTATCAACAAAGACGAAGAATTAGAATTGATTAATGCGCTTAATTCAAATGCATGGTGCGGACGAGGAATAGCGTACGTGTTGATTGTCTGATTATTCGATTCTTTGTAAACAGACCATAATCTGGGCAAAAATGTTTTTAAAAAAAAAAAAAAAAAAAGTCCAAACCCGGAAATGAGGAGACGCACCCAACATTACGGATACGAATTTAGTTATAGATACAGGTGAGCGGATTTGTCTCGGATAAATCTGACCAAGTAATTTATTTGATCCAATATATTTTTTACCAATGTCCAGGAAGATCATGAGGGATCTAGGACCATTACCTGATTTCATGGATTTCATCATTCAACGACTCGTTAATCAAGAGATTATTCGAGATACCAAAGACATCCCGAATATGTGTATTGTGAATGAGTATGATGCTGGTCAAGGTAATTACTGAATAATTCGACAAAAAACGTCGATTTGGCTTATCCAGATAATGAATTTTGCAATAGGTATTATGCCTCATACCGATTCGGCTACATTGTTTGGTCCGGTAATAACGAGTCTTTCGTTGTTATCGCCTTGTTTAATGAAATTTACACACGCTTCAAATTTGAATGACGAAGCCATTATATTGTTACGTAAGTATGAGATGATTCTTTTAAGGTAATGATGCTAGTGTTACATTCATATGGTCCCGGTCACAAGAAACCCTCGTGCATGATATCATTGTATTAGAACGTATCCATCTATTTTTTTTCTTACATTAGAAATTTTTATTTAGGTCCTAGATCTTTATTGATAATGACGGGATCATCAAGATATGATTACAAACATACAATCTCAAAGGATCTTGTTGAGGGCTTTGAAGTGGATGGGGAAGGAATCTTGGAGATTGTGAGAAGCAGAAGAATCAGTTTGACGTTCAGAACAATAACATCCTGCGAGGAGGGTTGTAACAACAATGATTATGATGGTAGCAACGATGAAAGTTAACCATTGGAATTCGTCAAATGGAAAAACTTCTTGACTTTTTATTTAATCACTAGTATTTTTTCACTTCCTTCCAATCCACACTTTTTCCGCCTTGCTTCAGTCTCTTCCAATCGATCCATCCTCCATTTCTCATTTTGGTTCCCAGTCTAGCTTCCAATGACCTTCTACCCAGCTTACCGGGCATCAAATTAACTCCTTTCCATTTTATCATCAGTAATTCTTTAACCTTTGTACCTTCATCAAAATAACAAAACTCCATTATCTTTGCTAACGCCGCATCATCGCCCTTCTCTACACACCTTTGCCTTAGTAATTGAAAATGATCGAGTTTTGGAATTTGTTTCATTGATAATTTTTGTAACAATCTTATACCTCCCCAAACATCCTCGCATCTATTTGGAGAATTGATCTGATAAATACTCATTTCTACAGTAATCATGATGAAACGCGGTTATATATTCAATAAAGTTAAAGGCATTTACCTCGCCAATATGTTGATCATAACCTTGTAAATTTCGTATTCCAATTCCTTAGTTCTACCCAGCTTCCTAAACTCCAGATCATTATCCTCAGAGAAATTTTCTTGATCATTCCACCAAGCTTGCCAATCTTGCCAAATGCCCCACGCCTCCTCAACCTTCTTGTGCCTATAACATGCGTTCAACATTGTTAAAAATATCCATCCATTGAGTTGAATGTTATATCTCGGCATGGTATTCTTGTAATGTTCCAAAATACTATGAAATTGTCCCTTCTTCTCTAAAACCGTCAAATATGAATTAAATAACCTTGGCGACATGCTAATTTTTTTAGAATTTAAATGGTTGTATAATGAACTATCTTCGGGTTGATGTGATTTGCCTGTTAATGATGTCAAGTAATTAAATAAGATTTCTGATTCTATGAGAGTTTGCTTATGTGTCGCCGGAGGATCCTTCAGTAAGGGAAAGGTGTCCGTTCCAATCGTCAATAGGTCAGATTTGTATCCTGTGATTGCAACTTCACTATCACCATCATTTTCCGTAACAGTATTTGTCTCAATCAATGATATATTGTCGCTCTCATCTCCAATTAGTTCATTGGTTAGCGTTTCTCCTTCTGGAAAAGAATTTTCCACTTTTACATTGTTTCCCGTTAAATGTGAGTTATAATGAGGTTCTTTATGAGAGCCATAGACCAAAAATAAATTTGTGAATGTAGTCTCGTCAGGTGTCAGAGATGGATCATATAATGACCTACGATAAATAAAATTTTGTAAATAAAATTTTGGAAATTAAATGTTGCAAAAAAATAGTACAGTGTATGTCAATTACCTTTGCATCATTGATATTAACAATTTTCTAGCAGTACCTAGATCACCCTTATGTGAACACGCATAAAATAATGAATTGTACGTGTATAGATCAGGATGATATCCGTGATCCTTCATATCATCTAACAGCCTGAATGCATCCTCGTAGTAATGTAAAATTCAATAAAATAGATTAGGGAATAACCATCACAATCTGTGAAAAAAAAAGTACATATTTCTAGCTAAAGGATATCTTTACGACGCGCGCAGGCATCAATCAGGGAATTGAATGTCACGTCGGTTGGGAATAGCCCTTTGTTGGTCATCTCGTGATACAAGTCAAAAGCCCGCTCGACGTCTCTGGTCTAAACTCAACAGATGCGTAAATAAATAATAGAACGCATTGTAACGTAACGCGATCTCATGATTTTCACCTTTGCACAGGAATGGATCATCATACTGTATGTCACTTCGTCTGGTTGACAAACTTCTAATCGCATGTGATCGAATGTTTTCCAAGCACGCGGTATTTCTCCATTTTTTATGCAACCTTTGATGAGCAATGAGAAAATTGGCTACACGAAAATAGATCTCTTAAGTACGAACAGTTTCTCTCTGATAAAAATGGATTTGGTGAATTTGTGCGGAACAAGTACAACTCTTACCTGATTAGGTATTATCTTGGAACTTTTCATTTGCAGATAAACATTGAAAGCATCATCGATACGCTGATTATTGACATATCCCTTGATCAAGTTCGCGTAGCTATATACTGTTTGCGTCAGTCCGGCTTAAGTTATGCGATATACCGTTACTTATAATAGACCCTATTTTTTATTGTTGCTCAAATAACGTACGTAGATTTCAACTTTACCAGCTTCTATCATATCAAATGCAGACTTTGCTTTTTTTATGTCTCCGACACTCGCGTATACATTGATTAGATGTTCATAGGTATTTATATTTGGTTCAATACCCGCTTTCTAATTTCCAAATTTATTAAAAAATAAATAACAAAACGCAACAAAACATCGATTTCTTCTTACCTTCATCCTTTCCAATGCATATTCAGCTTCTTTCGCGCTCTTCTTCAAGGCCTATCCCTCATATTGATTTCCAATAAGGCCATTTGTTTCTTAAAAAAAGAGACTGATGAAATTTAACTTACACATGCATACAGAATTCTGTTGTATTCTTGGAGGTTCAGATTTTCCCATCCCATTGGCAATTCCATTAAGGGAACTATATTGTTCTCGATGGATTGTTTGATTTGTCGAGCGGACGGAAATTCTGGTTGATTCATAGGCAACTCGGATCCCCGAATTTCTAGGAGTGGTGAACCGAATTCTCCAAGCGCATGATCAGATAACGGAAGTCGTTTCTTATCTGATGCGGGGGAAGGAAGGGGTGACGACAATTCTTCGTATATTTTGGTAAAGTGTTTTTCGGTGAACGGTGGTTCGCCGGTCTGTTCAAATTTTTAATTATGAAAGTTAAAGAATATTCTAGATAACAATGGTGACAATTCCATCTTTTACCTCTGTTATCGATTGCTTATCTAATCTGGCCATTTCTTGTTCTAACATATTTATTTCCTTTTTGATCTTCAAGGTCTTCTCTTCGAGTTTTGTCCTATTTTTACTAGTTATGCCCATAAAATTAAGATGTAATGGTCCATTGAATTTCCATAAAAGTGCAATTTTAAATAAAATTTACCTCCTCTTTTTATTGATATTACTGTGACAACGAATGTAAATTGAAGGATTTATTCTTGGATTCTTTGACAAAATGAGTGAATCGTAGATTAACGCATTTGAAGGATTATGCAAAAGAGTAAATAGACTAAATCTTAATCTTAATTTCAAATGCATTGTGGAGAAGGATTGATTTTCTTGATTTCTCACTCAATTGAAAAAATTTTTATAAGGATCGATCGACTGAAAATTTTCCCGTAACACAAGCTCAACTCTAACGCGTTACTTTGAAATCTATGTATAGCAATTAATTAATTATTCGAAACTGATTTTATATAGTACCTGTATCGACTAAGGCAAGAAATTTCACTTGGAAAAATGATGTTCCCTATCCTGGAACTGTCTTTTCCGGATCTAATAATTTATTATGCAATAATAATACTTATCGTTAACGATAAATTAATATGTACAGTACCAATGATGTTTACAAAAATTTTTTAATAATCATAGCATGTCTTATATCTTTTACTACAAATATATTAGAAATTACAATTTCACTTATTTTATTTATATTATATTTTTAAATTAAGATAAACGAATATTAATTATAATAATAAATATTAATATAAATTCGAATTAAAATATATTAAAATTAAAAAGAAAATTAATATGCAATCACAATCATTTATATTTATATAATTATAATTAATTATTTATTTTAATAATTCTAAATGTTTTGATATATTGTATATTGTATTTACAAATATATAATATTATGTTCACAATACTTTTATAATATAATTAATTATATATAAGTATATATACATAACTAGATTTAAAATTATTTTTTTGTCATCAAGTTCTGAATCTTTTTTTGCTCACATGATTGTCAAATAACTTTGCTTTAACAAAACGTCAAAATTTTTAGATTAATCTAATAATTCAAATCGACTTTCCTCATCAGCGTCAATCGCCATCTCATTACCATTATCTCCTTGTGGATGATTATTCACAACCACTACGTCCCGTTGATCTGGTGTAGTGGTTACTTTAACTATTTCACCGTTTCGTACACCACCGCCTGTTAAGGAAAAATGTTAGAGATTTTTATAAGATTAAAACGTGTAGCAATATGGATATATATTGAGGCTTACCTATCAGTAAGACACTTAATGGATTCAAAATTTTGCGCATAACTAATCTATTCAATGGTCGCGCACCATACACCGGGTCATATCCATTTTCTGCCAGCCAATTTACCGCACTTTCATCAACATTTAGTAATATTCTCTTATCTTGTAACCGTTGGTTAAGTGCATCCAATTGTATTCCAACAATCTTTTGTATGTCTATAAGGTATACAGTTGAAGGGATTATTGTTATAGCAAATAAGCAACCGATAAAATATGCAAACACGATAAAGTGAGTAAACATACGTTGTCTCCCGAGAGGGGTAAAAACTATAGTCTCATCCAAACGATTAAGGAACTCTGGTTTAAAGTGTAGTCTAACTTCTCTCATGACAGCCTCTTTGACGACATCACTTACAGTATCGGATGTTAAACCTTGTAAATGGTAAGATCCCAAATTACTGTTTGCACAAGTATAATATGGTTAGTAGATTTCAAAACATGTAATTCAAAAATGTGTTATCTTATTATCTTACCTTGTCAAAATAATAACGGTGTTACTGAAGTCAACGAGGCGACCTTGACTATCTGTTAGTCGTCCATCATCCAGTACTTGTAGTAAGATGTTGAGGACTTGTATGTGCGCTTTTTCGACTTCATCAAATAATATAACACTATATGGTCGTCGTCTTACTGCTTCAGTAAGTTGACCACCTTCCTCGTGGCCAACATAACCAGGGGGTGCGCCAATCAAACGCGACACAGAGTGACTGAATTAAAGAAATTGGTTACATGTAAGTCAACATAACAATTTTAACATCCACCTTAATCACACATAATAAAGTTACGTCAATATTGTACCTTTCCATATATTCAGACATATCAATTCTTATAATGTATTTCTCATCGTCGAATAATTCTTGAGCAAGTGTCTTACAAAGTTCAGTTTTACCCTATAATGGTAAGAAGTGTTAATTTCTTTATCTTTAAAGCGACCTAACGACTATAAAATGTATAATTTTATACTTACTACACCAGTAGGACCAAGAAACAAGAAACTTCCTAAAGGTTGATGCTCCCTTGCTAATCCGGATCTACTTCTTAATATTGAGTAGGTAACAGCTTGAACAGCCTCATCTTGACCAACCACTCTTTTGTGAAGAGCATCGGACAAAGATAATAACCGATCTGCTTGAGATTTAGAGAGTCGTGAAACAGGTACTCCGGTCCACCGCGAAACAACCTCCATGATTTGTTCAGGTCCAACAGTATCAGTCAATAGATCATCCGGAGTATTTGAATTTGCGGCCCGTTCCTCAGCTTGTTTGGCTTTTTGAGATTGTAATTGTTCGATTCGCTGTTCCACTTCAGGAATAGCGTAGTATCTAAGATCAGCAGCTTGTTCGACATTAGTATACATAATGTCTTCCAACTTTGCCTTTAACTCGTCCAATTTTTGCTTGAGAGCACGAATTTCATCAATACGACCCTTATCATGTTCATATCTAGCTTTGAGTGGATTTAACTGCTCCTGAATTTCAGCCATTTCCTCTTTAACCTTCTTAAGACGTTGAGCACTAGGTTCGTCTTTTTCTTTTGCAAGAGCAGCTGCTTCGATCTCCAATTGAAGATGACGACGTTCAAGTTGATCAATGATTTCCGGCCTAGAATCAAGTTGAACCCTCGTATTTGCACAAGCTTCATCTATCAGATCAATAGCTTTGTCCGGCAAGAATCTATTGGTAATATATCTTGACGACAATTGTGCAGCAGCAACGAGAGCCGCGTCTGCTATCTTAACACCATGGTGATTTTCATAACGTTCCTTCAGGCCACGCAAAATACTGATAGTGTCCACAACAGAAGGTTCCCCGACCAAAACTTGTTGGAACCTACGTTCAAATGCGGCATCTTTCTCAACATATTTACGGTACTCGGCCAAAGTTGTTGCACCAATACAACGCAATTCGCCACGAGCTAACATTGGTTTCAGAAGGTTTGCGGCATCCATAGAACCTTCGGCTTTACCGGCGCCCAATACCAAATGAATCTCATCTATGAATAATATGATTCCTCCTTCTGCTTCCTTGACTTCTTTTAGCACTGCTTTTAATCTCTCTTCAAATTCTCCGCGATATTTTGCGCCAGCTACAAAACCAACACTTGTTAATATTATGTAAGGTGGCATCAAACGAATAAAGATCATGTCCGAAATTTACCAATTAAAGCCCCCATATCTAAGGAAAATAACTTTGCATCTAATGACTGTGGGACATCCTTTCTTACAATGCGCTGTGCTAAGCCTTCTACAATAGCAGTTTTACCCACTCCCGGTTCTCCGATTAATACGGGATTATTCTATCCAATTCACTAAGTTAAAAACATATATACTAATCACACATGCTTTTAAAGAAATAAAAAAAATTACCTTAGTTCTCCTAGCAAGTACACGAATTACCCGGCGAATTTCCTCATCACGCCCGATGACAGGATCGAGTTTTCCTGATTTTGCGAGAGCAATAAGATCAATAGCATATTTACTTAGAGCTTCATAATTTTCATCAGCACTCTTCGATTCTACCCTTCGATTCCTGTAAAAATATTTTGTCCAACCATAAATTATTGAACGAACGAAAGTCGAGAGTAATAAAAATTGCATAATCATAAACGTACCCTCTGACTTGAGTGATAGCTATTTCCAAAGCTTTCCGATCCACGCCTGCCTCATTAAAGGACTTCAATGATTGCGGATCTTCCATCAATGCCAAAATCAAATGATCCTGTGAAATATAACTATCCTTTTGTCTTTGCTGAATATCATGCGCCACTCTCAGAACCTTGCCGGCCTGCGGACTAAAAGACAAATCCTGAGGCGCAGGATCTTGAACTGGAAGCCTTGCCAATGTCTTTTTGAAGCTCCTTTCGGCCATCGTGGCATCTCCACCGGCTTTGTTTATTATATTCTTTATTAAAGACTCGCCATCTGTTTCATCGAATAATGCACAGGCCAAATGAGCGGGCGTTACCTGTACGTGAGAGTATTCACGTGCTAATTCGAACGCTGCAGCGAGAGTTTTTTCAGTTTTGTCAGTGAATTGATAATTATTCATTATGTTTAAATTGAATTTTTTAAAAAAAATTAAGCTGATCGAAACTTATCCGCCAGGTTCGGGAGCGAATTTATATTTGTTGGTAAATCTTTAAAGACATTTCTCGAATTTTCCGGATTTTGGGTAATGACTTCATAATATGTAATACAATAATGATTAACCAACCTCACGCCATAATAATATGATAAATACTGTATATACAGTATACAGTATATATAGTATGAATTCTTTTTTAAATTAAGTAAAAATATTGATTTAGTCTGGAGCGTAAGCCTAGGACTATATATTGCTACGCAATATGTCCACGTTCCCTCCGCTTAATAATTGAGTCGATGAAATCATTGGCTCCAATTGATACACAAATCTGATATAGTAAACTTGTAAACTCCGGACTTGAGTGATAGCTATTTCCAAAGCTTTCCGATCCACGCCTGCCTCATTAAAGGACTTCAATGATTGCGGATCTT